CCCTCTTCCTTCGTTCACCGGAGAGCGAGACCAAAGTACTTTCGTAATTCATTTATCCGAAAACTTTCGGACAGGAGACGTTGTGTTCTATGTCTCCTGTTTCGGACTAACAAGGATCACATTATCGGCACCCTGTATGATTCGATGTCAGACCACTTTTTTTTTTTGTGAGGTTGGTCAGGTCGAGGTGCTTGTTCTTGTTGTTGGTCCCTTTTTGTTTTGGCTGGCTTTGGCTTTATTTGTTTGTTATTGGTCTAGGAGTTTCGTCGTCGGCATTGTGTTGGTTAATTTTGTGGATTGTTCTCGAATGTGAGAAGTAGCAGCTTCAGGTTTACTCCAACAATTTTTATTGTTGACAATTAGAGCTGTAAGTACGGACCCCCATGGAGTCAATATTCCCCATTTGTTATCGCCACTTCCGACCATAACCTTTCTCTCTCAGCTGTTAATGTCCCGGTTATCTTTTTTAGAGTGGTGAAAATGACACTAGATATAACCAGCGTAATAGATACGAATCACAACAGTATCATATTTGGAAGCCTGCCGGATTTGTACAACAATGAAGTATATTGTGATGCAATATTTTACTGCAAAGAGGGAAAGACAGTGAAATCTCATAGATTACTTTTAAGTTCTGTTAGTCCATTCCTCCATATGTTATTCCATCAACAGGTATGTTTCCTCAAACTTTGATTGTCTGCATGATATGAGGAACGCTATTTTTTTGGTTAAATTTTTGTTAAATTTTATCCTCTTGATTTACAGAGATACCGTGAAGTCATAGAAATTTCTCTACCTGATTTCAATGTTGAAGATGTGGACAACCTCCTTAGATTTGTCTATGAAGGTGTTATTAGGTAAGTTTTATGTTGAAATTATCTTATTGAAGTTAGGAGTTGTCAGTTAAATTCCTCATCACATATTGGTTCTTTTCCTCGGCAGGCTTCAGCAAGAAGAATTAGCTATTTTTACAGAGATTAGGAAAACCCTAGAAATCAATATAGCCGTAATTCTTCAAACTGATAATGCTGAACATATTCTAGAAAATGTAATGATAAGAAGGAGAGACCTTGTTAACAAGGGAAGTGAGAATGTTATAGAAAACATCATAATGAAGAGGACACTCAGTGAGCAAGGTACAAAAAATGCAGTGAACATTCTAGAAGATATCACCAGGAAAAGGAAACTAGCTGACAATAACAATGAAGCAACAGCAACACCCTCAAATTTCAAAATTCAAAAGAGGATGAATCCAGCTCATGAAGATAGGCAAAATATTGTTAGTTGCTTTAACAATATAATTGAGAACTTCAAAGCTTCAACCCCCAAACAGAAACCCAAGACCCTTGCAGGTGCTGGTGAACCCATTGTCTCTCAACCTGCCAAAAGTCAACTCCTTGTATCAATCAGCAAGTACCAAACTGCTGTTAATTGCTATGAGAGGAAAAGGCTGGAGAAAAATATGGAAGGAATTGTTGCTAAAATTGTGAAGCAAGAAATAGAGAAGATTAGGCAAGATCAGAAAGAAAAAAAGAAGTCTAAACTTCATCCTCCTAAACCTCCTAACCAAGTAGTGCTCAATCCAACTTTTTTACCTAACGTAGCCCATGTAGGGGCATTGCCAACTGCATCAAAACCTAGTCTAAACTCTACTAATGCTTTGTCCATTCAAAGCAAGCTTTCCGAAATTCAACCACTTCTAACAAAGTCTATAAATAAAGATGTCTGTATGAAATCGGTGGAAATATTGCCAGCCATGCCTACCATTTCCACCCAACCACCTGAACAGACTCTGAATGAAAATTCGAGAAGTAGTACCCAAGATGTATGTAGTCACGCCTCAAACTTTTCGAGTGTTACTGAAGAAGTACTGATTCCTCCTTTTACACCAGCTGGTGCAGGAACACCCAAGACAATATCTCCCAACAAAGTTGTTAATAATATTCAAGGGAAGTCGTCAATTTCTACCAAGCCTGCGGAACAAGCTCCTAAAGGAAAGGCAGGTATTTCTACCAAAGGTATCGTAAGTTATCCCTCTACAGAAAGTTTGAATGTTACTGAAGAGGTATCAAATCTCCCTCGTTTTACTGCTCTGTCTGTTGTAAAAACATTATCCTCTCCCTCTCAGTCCGTTCAGCCTAAAACTCAAACTCCCATCCGCTCTTTGGGCCAACAATGTGATCAACCCAAAGGAAAACTTTCATCTAAATTACATACACCCCCTTCTAGTTCTCAAAGCAACCTGGTGAAAGGTGGGAAAGGCTACAATCTCTTTGACAGTCCCGTAGTTGAAGTGCTTTCACCGTCCCCACGAAGCCCTGTGATTAATGCATTGTGCCCCATTGGGAGTGGAGTGAAAACTCTCCCAAGTAAAGTAAAAAAGACTTATATCCGCAAAGGAAAATAGTTAATGTCACGTATTTAAATTTCTTGTATCACTGTTGACCTGATAGTACTAAATGACTAAATGAAGACTAGAAAGCACTGTTTAAGTATTGTAAGTTGTGAAAAGTGCTCGTATTATTTTACTCTCTTAAGTTCAGTAAGCTCTTCACTAGTTCTTTCTTCCATGTTAATTACATTGATAAGTTTAATGTGAAAATTTTTACGTGTGAGATGACTTGCTCTGTGCGGTTGCAGTATTCATATTATTGTGATCAATATACCGTACCCTTTTTTTTTCTAATTAAAAAAATGCGAAACAACATTTTTTTAAATTTTTTTTATTGGACCTTCCAATTATTATACACCTCAAGGTTTAATATCATTTACCGTGGGATTACCAGTACGCTGATGTGCAGTAACAACATAATAACTCAGAAGTGAAAGTAAAGCATAGGCCATTGTTTTCTATTTCTTGTACTTCTGTGCACGATTCAGATTGGTTTAATTGAGATCAGAGGCAACTTTCAGTCAAAGTCTGGGATATCATCAAAGGAATACCCAGGATGATTTAGAAATGCATAGACGGCAATTCGCAAATGGTACACTCCTGGAATGAACATTATAAATCCCAATACAAGCATTGGCCATGTTCTGTCAACATACTGAAATAGATTGAACATAATTGTAATTAAATTCATAAACAATTAGCTGATGCAAAAGTCCTCTATAGAATAAATTTGTTTATCTGGGCTACCTTGGGATCGATGTAACCAGTGAGGAGGAGGATAGCGGTTCCCAATAACACAGCTCCGCCTATACTCAAGACTGATGCAAAAAGAACAGCCGACCAAGGTATTTTTACGGTTGGATGAATGAACTATAGCAAAGCAGATGTACAATAACCTGAATAATCAATAATACATCTGGTACATGAATTATAATTTCATAAAAGATTTACCTGGTCCTCAAGCATTTCATCATCATCTTCAAATTGGGAAGGTACTCTCTCATAGTCAACATCTTCAAAAGTTGGCCTTGATGTGGTTCGCCTTCTCCAAGTCCTTGTCCTGAGCGCCTCTAAATACATACAACAATCAAATAAGATGACAGCAAATATAGCTATTATTCAACACATTATTTCTTAAAATTATTGTAAAACCTTTGAGCTTATTCCACATTGAAATTATGCAATATTCCTCACAGATAAAACACCTCAACACAGCATAGAAAGCATAACAAACCTAGATAATAGTACTCTGCCCCTGTGCAAGGGACTCAGTGAGAGAACGGCACAGGAGCCCCAAACTAAAGGTCACAGTTTGACATTTCCATGAGATTATCCCTCCTCCAGAAGTTTTAACCACAACCAAAATATGCACACAGGAAAACTCTGTTTGCAAGATATCAGCAGATAGAGTATTAATCCACTGCTATTGCTCTTTGAAAATAGGATTCAGTATATGGAGGATAAACCATCCATAACTATATACATTAATAAATATAGCCATGACTTATAAATAGCTATTTATATGTAACGCAATAAAAGATGAGAAAAATTGAATTTAGCATATGTTTTATACAAGATACCCATGAATCTTACCTATATTATTCATTTCCAGATAATTATTAGTTAGTTATTGTATTTGGGCATTGGGTTTACTGGGTGTTGTTGTACTTTTCATAACATTCAAACTTAACAGATCTGTAACTGTAGTTAAAAGATGGCAGAAATGCTGAACAGCTATGAGCAGTTCAGATTAATTTATATTGAAAAAAAGCAGAATCAACAAAACTTCTCATTCGTGTGTACTGAGGTAAACTAAAAATATGATAGGCTATTTGAGACAATCGCGGTTTGACAGATACACTTGACGTTTTGTCGCAGTGCAAACAAGGAATAAACAGACACATGCGTCGTTTTATTTTCTTTGCTTTCTGAGTCCTGAGTATAAAGTCCCTACTCAGTGATTCAAGCATCAATGTGTGTCGTCTGCTACAGAGAGAGAGTCTCTATTTCGTCTGCTACAAAGGGTTGTTGTTTCTAGAACTAAAGCTGAGAAGCTGAGACTGGAACTGAAACAAAACTCGGCCATAGCTAACATTGGCAGGGTGTCCGGTAGGAAGGGGTTAAAGTTTCATAGCTGAAGCGCATAGCAATAGCTATTGCTAGAGCTATTGCTATAGCGAGGGCCCTGTAGCGAGGCTACGTCAGCAGGGGTATGAAAATCAAAACGGCCGGAAGTGCGGCTGGTGGTGGAGTGGAGGAGGATGCGGTGAAGGGGAGGGGATCAGTGGGGAAGCCCCTATGTCGTACCGCCGTAGCGACCCCAGCGTAGCCATGTTCTCGAGGTCATGTATCCGCTTTGAAAATGGGAGCAAAGAGGTGAAAACTCCAAATTGTAAGGTGAAGGAGGGTCATAAAGGTTAGATAAATAATTGCTTTGTACTTGTGCAAAGACCGATATTATGGACAAGCGTCGTGCGCATAAATGCCAAAAAAAAATATATTGGCACGCGGATTAGCGTGGGCATAACAGAGTTAATGTTATGGGCACGCGCGGAATTCAAACGCCCAGTGGAACAAGGGGGGTTGATAGACCAAGAGGCTGATTCAAGAAGACTGGCCCTCAAAGTTTGTTTAGGAGGTTCGGGTTCGAGGCGAAGAGTGATCAGGGAAAAGGTGCATTCGAATAAAGTAATTGCAACATTCTGCACGACGCGTGCGCATAGTAAAACATAGAAAATCTGCACGACGCGTTTGAATAACTCTAAAACTCTTATGCGCACGCGGAATCAAAGTTTCCAACATGTCAGCATCAACGTATGTAAGGGAATGCCTGCCTACGTCAATTCAATATTGCATTTCTCACTCGGAACCTGAGCGTCGCGCCTGCAAGACTCGGGGTAGGCCACTCCGCAGTACACGGATGCAATGCAGACGAGATGTTGCCTATCCACCAGGCGCTACGAGAGCTTGCATCTCCGTGGCGAAAAAGGAGACCGTATGTAAAGGTTTTCAAGACGTTTGAAGCGTGTTTCATAGGAGTTTTGGAGGCGATAACTGCTTAGAAACTCATTGTGCTAAATGGAAACATGTTGCGGTGTGTTTATAGTAGGCCTACAAAACCCAACATTAAACATCCCTCTCCAAGTTTCATACCAGTTTTCGGAAACACGTTAAAAACAC